TTTCTAGGTTTTTGTTTGAGACCCCTCTGTCATATTATAAAAAGACAGATTAACAAGAGAAAAAACATATAGAAAATATGCCTCCTGTACTGGGAGATACCCAGAAAAACTGAGTAACTCCCCCAAATAGCCTAAACCACTCCCTTCAATACCATCTCCAGCTAAGGACAAAAGAAAATGTTGAGGGGTGGGAGAAAGCCAGTTATGGGAGGTTACCAAGAAAAGCACACGAAACAAGATTAAGGTTATAATTCAGATTTGCCTTCTCCCCTGATAAGAGTCTCCAGAGATGTAGTCATTCTTTTCTTGCAAGTACAGAGAGGAAGACACCCTTACAAAATTAGAAATGCTTAATTAATGTGACCATTCCTTTTCAGACTTTTGTGTTTGCTGTTTCTTAAAAGTAACCAACTCAAGATATTCAATATGCCCAAGAGGCATATTTTGGGGTGGCAGTTTCTGTTTCTTTTCACAATTTACCAGAAATGAATGAGCGTTTAGCAGACACTGGGAATACTAGAAGTAGATGAGATGACTCTCAGGATTCAAACTTAGAAAAGTATACTTAGGTTAGGCTGTAAAATGGAAATGTGAGAGGTCAGGAAGCAAGAGGCAAGGAAGTCAAGGGGATGATGGAGGGCCGATTTCAAATGGTAAAACCCCACTGACCACTTCCGTTTCAGATATCCTATCTAATAAAAGAATAATATGCAAATTAACCATCACTCTGCTCAAGAAGATAACTCCCAAGAAAAATGGTGGCAGCCACAGAGCTGGAGAGAGCAGGGTAGAGTTGCCCCCGGCAACAGAGGAAGCCAAGCTTTCTACCTGCCCTGGCTGGCCTAGGCCTCACTCTAGGCTACAAAATTTTAATTATAGAAGGTAAATAAATTCCAGATACCAGGGCCTCCTCTTGGGTCACGGGGGGCGTGGCTTGTCTGCAAACCACCACAGGCCCCTAGTCCAGGCCGCGCCACGCCCCAAAGGAACCCCTACCCTGATCCGGGACACCCTTCAGGGCAAACCAACTGGCCCCCACCCATGCACCAGGCCTCTATCCTATCTAATAAAAGAGTAATATGCAGATTGACCATCACTGCAACACACAAGCTGGCTACCCCCATGTGGTCAAAGATCCTGCCCCCATGTGGACATAAGGTGGCCACCACAAGATGGCCAGCAAGGAGGGCAGATGGGAGGCACCAGGCCTGTAAGGAAGGGCAGTTGAGAGGGACCAGACCTGCAAGGAAGGGCAGTTTGAGGCGATCAACCCTGCAGGGGAGGAGAGTTAAGGGTGACCAGGCTGGCAGAGGAGAGAAGTTGGGGGCAAACAGGCTGGCAGGGGAGCAGTTAGACATCAATCAGGCTGGCAGGGGAGTGGTTAGGGGTGATCAGGCTGGCAGGCAGAAGCAGTTAGGGGCAATCAGGAAGGCAGGCAGGTGAGCAGTTGGGAGCCAACAGTCCTGGAGTGTGAGAGGGATGTCCGGTGGAATAAGGTCTAAAATGGACAGTTTAACATCCCTCGAGGGGTCCCAGATTGGAGAGGGTACAGGCTGGGCTGAGGGACACCCCTCCACCCTGTGCACAAATTTCATGCACAGAGCCTCTAGTTAGGCTATAAAGAGGCTGGAGAGACTGAAATCTGTTAATGGGGTGATGAAGCCTCTAAAGCAGTGATTCTCAACCCTTCTAATGCCACGACCCTTTAATACAGGTCCTCATGTTGTGGTGACCCCCAACCATAAAATTATTTCCGTTGCTACTTCATAGCTGTAATTTTGCTACTGTTATGAACCGTAATGTAAATATCTGTGTTTTCATCTGGTCTTTGGCTCTACAGCAGCAGTTTTCAACTTGTGGGTCAGGGTCACCTAAGACTATGGGAAAACACAGATATTTACATTACGGTTCATAACAGTAGCAAAATTACGGTTATGAAGTAGCAACAAAAATAATGTTATGATTGGGGGTCACCACAACATGAGGAACCGTATTAAAGGGTCGTGGCATTCGAAAGGTTGAGAATTACTGCTCCAAAGGAATAGGAAGGAATCACCAGGAACCAAAGAACCACTATTCATCAAGTAATTGTTGGACTTTTCATTCCCCAAATTAAAGAAATTTACAGGTCACTCTTTTCCATTGTCAATACTTTCGGTACCTCTGCTGATTATTTTAAGTCACTATCTAATAAATGCCTAATTAAGTCACAGTAGAAGCTCTCATATCTACATATGGTAGAGATGCTGCAATCTATTGTAAATGCATCCAGATAAACCTATTTACCTAAATACAAATAAAACCTAGAATTAGCCGCCCCATAAGTGAAGGCCAATACATAAAGATTATCCAAGTGTAATGTTCAAGCTCGTTGTGGGGTATTTAAAGAATTAAATAAAAGATAGAAGGATTTTAGGCAAAGTCTTTAAAATAAAAGTAATTTACTTATCTCCATAGATAGGTTCCTAAAATCCTGCATCAATGACATAGTAATTTGGGTGCTTCCTAGAATACTTTTCTGTATGTTTTTATTGATTTTTAGAGAAAGGGAGAGTGATAGGAACATGGACGAGAGAGAAACATCATCAACATCTGCCTCCTGCATGCCCCCTACTGGGGATTAAGCCTGAAGGTGCCCTGACCAGGAATTCAACCAGTGACTTCCTAGAGCATAGGTCAACAACACTTAACCACTAGTCACACGGGTGTGTGTGTGTGTGTGTGTGTGTGTGTGGCCCTAGAATACTTTTTGAAAGGCAAATATCTACAGGTAACCTAACCTTCTAAAACAAATTATTTAATTTTTTTCTATAGCTCAAAGGCATTGGTGTTGAAAAGGAAAAGAATAACATATTTAAAAAAAAAAATACCAATTAGAGGCCACAAAAAGTTACACATACTTTCCCCCCAAAGAAAAAAAGTACATAGCATCTATTTGATTTTGAGTCATTTGACATTTCCCCATTTTTTTCCAAATATGTTCTTTATTTAAAATAATTCTCACATTGACAAGTAATATTGAAGTGATATATTTAAAACAAAATTAACTTTCTTATTCATTCTGTCCCCTTTTTTTCTAATTAATTAGGAATAAAATTTGTCAACATTTTCCCTAGCTTCATATTAGAGAAGTCACTTGAAAATAGGAATCACATTTCCTTTTTACTACTAGGCCTCTTGCATACATCTTAAAAGATTATTCTTTGTATTTGCAATTCCAAAGAAGACAAAACAGCACATTTACATGCCATGAGAAAAATATATAACTTCTTTAAAAAAGTAGCTTTAAAAGATTTCTATCAAGAAGATGCTCTGATAGTGAGAAGAAATTAAGCAAAATACTCATAATTCTGTGACCAGTTACTTAAAAATAAAGCCTTTTAAACTTCTATTTCTCCCCCTAGTGGCAACAGATAAAATTGCAGATGAATATATTTTACAGTTGTTTGCCAATTAATTAGCCTTTATATAAAACTTTGCTCAAGTGAGTCATGTTCAATATTGTGTTGTATGCAAGTTTGTAAAGAAAAATAAAAGTAGCAAAAGCATCAGCTATTGTTAAATTTCTAAACACTACATTATAAGAATAAATTATTAAATTATTTAAATTAATTCATTTCCTTAAGTTTAAGGCAAAACGGAGAAGCTAATTTCACAGACATATGCCACATATATAAACTCTTTGTTGAAATCAATTCAGATTTTTTTCTTGCTTGTTTCCATATGATTGCTGTATTTAAAGAGTGAACAAGCCTGACACCTTTACCTTCAAATATTCACATTCCAGACAGCAGATGACTCCAGGTTCCTGAAATACTTAATGCAAGAGGACTGCTTCACTCCAAAAGGCATTTGGAGCAATTTTTTGTAACAATGAAGCACATGAAGGCACTCTCTTAGAAATGTGCCTTTGGAGAACGGTGGCTATTTAGGATTGTCTCATTTCCTGAAGTTCAGTCTCATTTTTATGACTGAAGGGAAAGAAATATAATGTAATGGTGGAAACCAGTGAGAAGGACATTACACAACGAATAGGATATAGCATCAAGGATGACAGAAAAGGAGGAAAATATCACAAAACAGCAATCAGTGATACAATAATGCATTTTCCCACCTGTTAACACATAATTTATAGTTGGATTTTAAGATCATGAAATAGTTTTCCTAAGAAAAATAATCAAAAGTCAGCATACATACTGTAACTAAGTTATTCTCCCAGTTACTTATTATAAACAAACGTTTCAATTTGTTAGGAAATGATATCCCATTCCTTAGGGTTACTAGTATGCTTAACTGATTATTTCCTTTATCTAAATTACTTTGCTTAGCCCCAATATTACAACTTATTCTCTGCTGATCTTTTACCTTTTTCCTTGTTTTAGCAGGCGTTATCTAAGACCTATATTAGTTTTGAAACCACAGAACATTGAAAAGTTTTATCAGAATGAGTTATCAGAAAAGAACCCTAACTCTTTAAGAACTTCAAAGCTAAAGAATCACTCATGTCAGACATTCATCCTCAGGATGCTCCTGGTATTAGAAATGACAGATCTCCTGCTTCACAAAATGAAAATGACAACTTCTTTGAGTCAAGGAAAGAGAGGAAATGGGGAAGCAATTGTACTGAAAGTTCTTTGCTAGCATGTTCTCTTTGGAATTGCTTTGGAATGACTCCTTCTGAGTGTCGGAAATCTGGAGTAGCAGCTGCAATTAGGGAATATGTCACTTTCAGAGGAGGGGGGCCAAGGAGAAAAAGAAGAGGAGGAAGTGGGGGAGGAATGGAGATGAAGGGAGGGCACATCCTGAAAAGATAATCCCTGTATGCTCTCATGACATCATCCTCCTGCATGCACGTATATATATAGGTAATGGTCAAAGCAACCCTCACACTTCAGTCACTCAGAATCAGCTGAAGGCAAGAGGAAGCACCAGACTCCCCTTCAGCCTGTCTGACGTGTTTGAACTTGGCTTCCTAGGAATCTCAAGGAGAGGAGGCAGGAATGAAAATCCAGCTGGTCTGCATGATGCTCCTGGCATTCACCTCCTGGAGTCTGTGCTCAGGTAAGCTCAGCTGCATCTCATAGCTCCCTGGGGTGATTTCTTTCTCCCATTTTGTAGCGTGTTGCTGCTTACATTAACGTATCCAGGGAGGATAGTTTCTCCCTTATTCTGGAATTGCTTTTTGGTGATAGAAGCTGGATATTTTCTTTCTCTGTCTTCATGATTATAAGAACGAACAGACTGCTGTTTTTAAATCTGCCCAGCAATAAGAGGGATTTTAATGAAACACTTCAGGGCCTTCTTTGGAATGTAATTACTAGAGAAAATAAAATGACACCTGAAACTTAATCTAGGCTGGTCACTATCTAATGAGAAGCACAGATGCAGTGCCAGTCAAAGTGTGGAGCCTTCATGAAAACCCATGCTGTTCAACTGCTTTGTCTCATTCCCAGTCATTCTCTTAGAAGGCAGGGGCTTCTCCCTCTCCCAAATGATCGATCTTCTGTGTGTGTATGCCAAGAAACAATGTGACAATTGATGGTTAATTAATAAATAAATGAAGCATTATTTGTAAATAATTATTTCTAGAAAAATACAAAAATGTTCCTTTTTGAGAATATACTTCACATAGTATTTTTATGTGACAAATAATAGTCAACCTTTTATTGCATGCCAATTAAATTGATACAAATATACTTGGAAAATTGACAATCTTATATTAATTAAAAGTATGTACCTAGTTTTGAATGTGATAATTAAGGAGAAGCCATATATTTCTGAGTAATTATCCATAATTCATCTTAAAAATGAGATTTAAATTTAGAAGAGTATCAAAACTATACTGACTGCAATATACTTACATTAATTTTTAAAATAATTAAATGATCACATCAAAATGAAAAAGAAAACAGAGACTAAATGCTGGAAAAATAATTTAACCTGTTTTATACTTTTTACCTGATAGAAATGACATTGAAATGTTTAATTTAAACTTCTGTGATTTTATTTAAATTATGAAATTTATACTAGCAGAAGATATAAATCTTATCAAAAATTTTATTTATTTATCTTTAAAATACCTTGAATTCATAACTTTGCAAATTTTTAAATGAGATAAATACTACATTTTCTAAAGTTCTGTTTTTATCTAATAATTGCAAGAGGTTAGGGGTAGACTTAGAGTATGTGAGAAAAACTTGATTATTGATTAAATATTTCATTTATAAACATTTGAAGTTCTTTCTGTGATAAGCTAAAATTTATGGCGATGCCAGGAAAAAATTTTCATGAATGCCTAAAGTGATTTTTATTTCTTTTGAAAAATAGATTGTGCCCCTAAAATAATAGGAGAAAATGATCTCTGGTATAATTTAGTTCTAGATACAATTTAGCAAGTGGTTTCTCCGAGTGCCACACTTCTTAATAAGAGTGGGTGGTGCAAAGAAGATAGAGCCTTTTTAATTTCTGCTTTGCTTTATGAGATGCTTGTCAGTGTGTTTGATTTCAGCAATTTTATTGTAGTGTTCTTTTTTTTTATTACCTTACAGTCTTATGTGTGTGTAGAATATTTATTAGTGGAAACTGAAAATGATAGTCTTTTAAAAAATCAGAAATCCATTTTTTTAATGCTATCATACATGTTTTTATGGACATGCGTTTTATTTAAGCAATGTTCTTAATGGACAGTTATAAAATTGCTAAGTACATATGCTTGGATTTTTTTTTAAGTAGACAAACACATGTTTCTAAGTGTGTTTTATAAAGCAGCATCTTAAGTAAATCTGAATGTCTTATTTATTCTAAAATTATCAGTAAGCAATTCTCTTCTGTTTGTTTTTGTCTTAAAAGTCTGCATACACCTTTTCATGATGCTGCTTTTAGAAATATCAGTATGCATATATTCTATATATGTAAACTATTGCTGGTGAAAATGGACCAGCATATATGATGACATTTCTATTATACATATAATCAGTTTATTTTTTTAACTTTGATATTTAGAGACTTAATAACTCCAAATTCTCAATAGCCCTTTTGCCATATAATCATGAGCTCATTTTCTTAGAAGTGCTTCTATTACTCTGACTGCCCCTTAGTCTAAAAAAAACCTACAAAATATTTCTGACTACTATTTTAAGCAGAATGCATACATAGGAAAGAGCCTGCATCTAAGAGTAATTTTTAAAAAATAAATCTAAAATCTTCAGGTTACAATATAATTATATGATATGTGATTATATAGTAACCATGTGGTTTTGATTTCACTCAGACTCTGAAGAGGAAATGAAAGCATTCGAAGCAGATTTATTGACCAATGTGCACACATCAAGGGTAAGCTTTTTTTTTTCTTTTTAAACCGTGGATTGGGAAACATAGGGACTCTCATTATAAACTGGTGTCCCTTTCCCATAGTAATAACTTCCCGTAAAAGCTGAAATGTTCATTGGGAGGCATTTCCTTTTTCGGGAAACTTTTCCTTGAGTTCAAAGGAGTTAAGGGTGTTGATGTGACAGGGAAAGAAATAATAATGGCTATCAATCAGTATATTGTAACTTTAATTAAATAGTCACATATTATTTATGTGGATGGGTACATGTGTTTAAAGGAATCCTATTTCCATTCCTACCAAATTGTATGTGGTGAAAGGTATATTGGCCTCAAGTTAAATATATAAATGAGAACTCAGAGACATTTTGCCTTTTTTTATTATATCAAGGAAAGTAAAATGGAGTTCCTAAATTAAAAATGAAAGCTCATGACAATCCATGAAAGGCATGTGGTAGAGTGTAAAGAGCAACAGAGTGGCAAACAGAAGCTTTGAGATTTTATACTGCAACTATGACTTATGAACTATTTGCTCCTAAGGAAGTGGGTAGTTACCACTGCTTGCTTTCATTTATCTTTTATTTTTAAATGCTGTGGTTGGAGCTATGACCTCCTAGACATTAACATTAAATTCATGCCTGGATTTAACTTCTTCCTATAACAGAAGTGTTATCTGTACCGCTCATTGTTTTTATTGAATTAAGTAAAACTTTGTATACTGGACCCTATTATTCCTCTCCTGGGGTACTGAAAACAAGGTTCCTATTGGTAATCTGTGCCCAGGAATAAAACTCAATTAGAATAGACCTGCTTATGTGCTACCACACTGTGTGGATATACCCAGGATGCATCTGCCTGTAGAGTCAGAGAACAGGGCTCCCTCCAAAAGATTTTAAAAAAAATATATTTTATTGATTTTGTACAGAGAGGAAGGGAGATAGAGAAATAGAAACATCGACGAGAGAGAGAGAGTCATCGATCAGCTGCCTCTTGCACACCCCCTACTGGGGATATGCCCGCAACCAAGGTACATGCCCTTGACCGGAATCGAACCTGGGACCTTTCAGTTCCCAAGCCGACGCTCTATCCATTGAGCCAAACCGGTTTTGGCCAAAAGATGTTTTTAAAGAAAATCAAATGCTGAGGTGCAGCCTCACCTGGTGCAATCACTGTTATCACTGGGACGTGATGATAAGAAAGCTCCTGTCTAATTTCTGAAGCAAAGCTCCAATGTAGGTCTTGTCACCTCAAGTTTTTCTTCTCTAAATGGATGAGCACGTTTTAGCTACAGTGATCCTTACTGTGTACATACAATTATGTTTGCTAGTCTGGCATGCTTTTATTAAGAAAGGTCTCCATAGTACACCATTGAGCATACTTGTGCTTTTTAAAGTCTGACCTAATGGTAGACAAGATGAACTTCATTCCACACATTTATTTCATGTGTGATGCTGTGACTTGTTTGCTCACATTACTTATTCAATGTTAAAATTTACTTTTTTAAATTGTGATATTCAGCATTTTCTTTTTGAAAAGCTATACTTTTGTTAAGAATATTAACACATTTTGTCAGCTTTTACATGATAGTTTGTTCTTTATTTTAGCTCACGATGTTAATTTTCCAGAAAGATAATTTACACATTTATCTATTTAAATTATCTTCTTGTTTATGGATTTTTGTTTGGATATTTGTTTAATAAAACCTTTCCAAGTTTGTAAAATGAATTGTATATGTTTAAACATTATTTTATTTATATCTAATCCATCTTGGATATTTAGATTATATTTCAAGAAAAAATATTATTAGCTCTAAATCAAATTTCCTCATAGCCAAACTGTCCCAAGGATTTCGAATGAAAACTGTGCTCTATGCTACATCCTCATATATATTTTGATCTATTATTGAACATTATATTCTCTTCTGTTGAGTTTTATATTTATTCATGCTCTATTAACTCACTCCTTTAAGTCCTGATGTTTTAAAAATAGTTTTCAATATCTGATAAAGTAAGTTCCTCCTCATTACCTTTCTATTTTTCTAAATCCTTGTAGTTATACTCACACATTCATACTTCCCAATTAACTTTATAATTATTTTGACAAATAGCCTCTCTAATTTCCAGCCTCCCCATATTTTTCAAATTGGAACTTTGATTTTTCAGTTGAATTACAGTTGGAGAATAATTCAGAGAGAATTGACACCTGAAACTATTTTTATTGAGTCTTTTCATCACAGCTTAGTAGTCATTCCATTTTTAATGTCATTTAGGGGGGAAAAATTGTGCTTTCTTTCATCTATGCTGTTTGAAATATTTCTTAATTTTTATTATTATGTCACATTTAGTCCTTATGTTTTCTCATTGATTATAGTTGGCATATGGGATAGTGGTTGATTATGCTCATAATGTTAAAAGACAAGATATAGAGAATTTTATAATTATAATTTTCTAATAAATTGGTGAGCTGTGATGCTGCCTATGGCATCTCAGTGTGTGAAATAGATTAGTGGTCTCTCACCTCTCTAATTTTCCAAATCTAATAGTAACACCTTAGTTCTTGTTCCATTAGACTCTAAACTGAAGTGTAATTAAGAAGAAATGGTATATTTAATGTCTTCACCTGTGATATGATATACATATATATATATCAATATTTATATATTTCTACTTACTGTCATTTCTTTTATTCTTTCTTTTGTTGCTTATGTATGTGTGCATGTGTGTGTATTACTTATTGCAATTTTTAAAATAGAGAGTATGAAAATAGAGAATATTGGCCCTATTCAACTTTGTGATATGAAGTGATAAAATTAATGACAGTGTATTTATTAGACTAAAGTAACATTTAGACTCTAAAATGTAGTAACTTAACACACTACAAATTTATTTCTTATTCATGTAAGTTTTAAATGTAATATCTATCTTTTATATTTCAGGTCAGTAAGGCAAGTGTTCCCTCTTGGAAAATGACTCTGCTGAGTCTTTGCAGCCTTATAAATAACCTGGACGGACAAGCTGAGGAAACAGGAGAGTTTCATGGAGAGGACCTTGTTACAAGAAGGAAATTTCCCATTGCCGTAGATGACTTTAGCTTGGAAGCAATGCTGACAATATACCAGATCCGAAATATCTGTCACAGCAGGGCCTTTCAACACTGGGAGGTAAAACAAAACACAATATATATGTACTTAGAGGCCTGATGCACAAAATTCTTGCACTCGGTGGGTGGGGGGAGATCCCCTCAGCTTGGCCTGCGCCCTCTTGCAGTCTGGGAGCCCTTGGGGCATATCGGATTGCCGGCTTGGGCCCACTCCCCATGGGGAGCACAGCAGTTGGATATCCTTAGTGCTGCTGCAGAGGCAGGAGAAGCTGCTGCCACTGTGCTCACCAGCCGCGAGCCCGGCTTCTGACTGAGTGGCTGCTCCTTCTGTAGACAGCTCCTGTGTTGAGTGTCTGTCCACTGGTGGTCAGTGCGCATCACAGCAACTGGTTGTTCCACCGTTCGGCCAATTTGTATATTAGCCATTTATTACATGGGATATAATTAAGTTATCTCTCATTTGTAGCAATTTAAAAAATGCTGATCATTATCATAACAGGAAGACGTTAATAAAAACAAAAACAAAAAACAGAATAAATCACCCTAACTGGTTTGGCTCAGTAGATAGAGCATCGGACTGCAGACTGAAGGGTCCTGGTTTGATTCCAGTCAAGGGTACATGCCCGGGTTACTAGCTCAACCCCAGTAGGGGGCATGCAGGAGGTAGCCAATCAATGATTCTCTCTCATAATTGACGTTTCTACCCACTCCTTCCTCTCCCTTACTCTCTGAAATCAATAAAAATATCTTTTAAAATAAGAATAAATCATGTGTTGAAATTAACATTCCCCCAGATCCTTCAAATATTTGGAGTTGAGAAAAACATTTTTCCTTCAATCCTAAAAGGGGGGTATATATTAAGGCAGATTTAATCCAAACACTTAAATGGATGGTAGGTTTAGGCAAGTTTTGGTAGTGGTTGTGGTAGCACTGCCTAACTAATTTAGGCAACTCAAAATGTTTTCTTAGAAGCTCTAAGTCATGTGTGTTTATCTATAAACAAACACAAAACACAAAAAGTTTCATTAGCATTTGAATAGATTAGGCAAATAAGACCAGAGTGATAAGGATATATAGATATAGATTTAGATAGATATAGATATAGATATAGATATAGATATAGATATAGATATAGATATAGATATAGATATTCCTATTTCAATTGAATGTGTGGATTTTAGGCATCCTTAGCAGCTAAATCATTATTAAGCATCACAATCTAAAAAGATCATTACCATTTAAACAGAACTTCCATATATGTTAGCTTCTGAGACTAAGTATGTTAGTTTGTATTCTCTCTATGATTGAAAAATTAATATTTGGAATGGTTTGCTAGTCAAGCCAGTACATAACTTAATTGAACATGAAATCATGTAGATCTTTCAAACGAAACTTATTTTACTAGACTAAAAACTATTTGTTATGATTTATGATATATTTCAATAACATTTTAGTCTAAATTGAGGCCTGAAAAATACTCAAAGTTCTATTAGATGTGCTCCTTCAATTGGAGCACATCTATTAGTGTGTGATCTTGATATATTAAAAAGCTTAGTTTGAAGAATACTGAAAAGTTGTGTTCTCATTCTTTCTCTGCCTCCTGATAGCCACCTCTTCTTGGACAAAACATGTTGTTTTTAACCTCATTCACATATGTCTTACTGTCTGAATCATAAATTAGAGAAGATATAAAAAAAAACCACTCTGAAATGGAATATTTCATGCATGTACGTTTCATTCGTATTCTGTCTATCTTGCAGGTGATTCAGGAAGATGCTCTTGATAATGGAAATGACAAAAATGAAAAGGAAGAAGTTATAAAGAGAAAAATTCCTTACATTCTGAAACGGCAATTATATAAGAATAAACCCAGACGACCCTACATCCTCAAAAGAGATTCTTACTACTATTGAGAAGTTAAATATATTACTTTCATGTGAACATGATTTGTCATTCCTTAATTAAATATCAAATTACATCTGCGTGCAAATGTCTCTTCTACAGTTGTGGTTTATTGGATGTGATTTTTCTGATTAATAGAAATTGGACTAAATGTGTTCAAATAAATCTAGATCTTGAGCATGATATGTTGTGTATAGCTGAAGTAGATATTAATTAAGTCATATATAGAATATTTTCCAATTTGGAAAAGCACTTAATGGGTAGTCAAAATGTATGACATTTTAAACCAAATTGTGAGAGATTATAATAGTGTCCTACAGAAAAGTCTATCCTAAGTATCATTAACTCCCCAAAAGTAACAGTACTGCTTTTATTATTTGACTGAATGTTTTTGAGAGATATACATTTCCCCCCCAATATTTAATGCCTGAATCATTCAGTTATGGGAGGTAATAGTGATAAAATAGGATCATTTTAAAAGAATAATCCATGAACTATTGATCATTATGCCTATCTTAATAAATGATTTGCAACTGAATTTGTTTTCCTGTTAAATGAACTAATTAGCCAATAAAAAGAAAATAAGCCATAGGTAACACATGTTTTTCTGATACATTTTTTATAAATATGTTTTTAATTGAATTTAGAGGGAGATAGAAACATCAATTGGCTGCCTCCTGCATGCCCTCTACTGGGGATCAAGCTCGAAACCTGGGCATGTGCCCTGACCAGGAATCAATCAGTGACCTCTTGATTCGTGGGTCAATGCTCAACCACCTCACCACATCATGCAAGCTGAAGATTAACTTCTATTAGAAGGGTTACAATTTATAGGCCCCCCACTATGATTTAGTAAATAATAACTACATGTTTAACATCATCAATAAATATGTGTGGGTTATTATTATTACTTTTTTCCTAATTGGGAGGGAATTTTTGAGGGAAAAGGAATACTGAAAATGAATCCTCATAAATTTTGTTTGAGACCACATTTATGGTGGGTCTCATAAACCATCATGGTCCTTACTTTTCTCCATTAGTAGGGACATCCTAGACTCTCAGTCTTACCAGGTCTAGGAAGAACACTCCTCAGAGACCTGCAGCCTAGTCCATCTATGAAAGATACCAGGGAGTAAGTTGTTCTGGAATTAAGATACACTGAGAACTCCATGTCCTTTGATGAGATTGTTCCTTCCCCAGCCTAAACTCCACTCACTATTACTGAAGAACAGCCCACCGATCTCAGGGCTTTCCTGTTAAAATCATGCCTTCTTACAAACACCACCACACCATCTTTACCATCATATAAACTTCAACATTGAAAAGTGCCGAAACGTTGATCCGAAGAAGGGAAAGTATTTTGTAGTGACTAGAGTGTATACTCTGAAGTCAGAATGCCCAGATCCAGCTTCACCATTCACTAGTAACCTCGGACAATTTATATAACTTGTTTATTCAGCTGCAAAATGTGGAAAGTAAATGAGTAGTGCAGAATGATACAAAGTAGTCCAATATGTGTAAAATGCTGAAAAAGTTTCCCAGAGCATATTAATAGCTAAATGTAACAGCTTTTCTGGCCAAGTTCATGCCATTTTTTCCTTTTCCCTTCACAAAACTATAGAGCATGATATAATTTTACATATTAACCTTCTGTGTTTAAAAAACACCAAACCTGCTTATCTCCTAATTAATTATTTGTTTCATTCATTATTCTTGAGGACCTCCACATACTTGTAGAAGATCTATTCAATAATTTTCCTTCCCAGTCCCTTACATCTCCACTTCTGATAATAAACACTTTATCCATTTCATCTCACCCAACCACTTCCATGGTTATATCACAGAACTTTTCACTACAAATAAATTCAGCCTCCCCAAAGTTTCAATTTTAAGCCCTCTACTCTGTAAATATTTTATTTTGTCTCCAGTTCATATAATGTGACACTCACTCCAACATTTATGATCCCATTTAACCCATTGTCTCCCCTTATTTCCACTGGTCACTTTCTACTCATGTCCACACTTTGCTAGTTACTTGATCCAGATTCTATAGTCCACATTAAAATCATTCCCCTACGTCCCTCAACTGCCTGTGCTGCCTTAGATAAGCTTGTGAAAATGCTATTAAACTGAAATCTCCCCCAATTCTGACCTCACCTGAGAAGCTGAACACAGCTGGAAAAAACAAAAACAAACAAACAAACAAAAAAAAAAACACTCAGTGCTGTTGAAAAATTACACTTAAATTTTCTGATCACAAATCTCAAGTCCTTAGTGTTACCTTGAACTCTTACTACATCTGCCTAATAAATTTTGCCTATAATTATCACTGAAGTTTGTTTTATACCTTTCCTCCTATTTCCAATCGCAACATTCATTAGTCTCCTCACATCAGATGATGTTCTAATTAGTTCACTAAAGATTAAAAGCAATAAAAAGAAAATTGCATATTTTCCTTACCACCAAATGTAACACCACTCTGCATTTACCCTCATTCTCCCATTTCAATGGAGGAACCATTCATTTCAATAGAGAATTAGTCTATATTCTCTTCTGATGTTCACTCCTTAGCACCCTCATTTCTGTAAATTGTCCCATACCCTGCTCAGGCTGAAAACCTAGTAGTCATTCTTAACTCTTCCCTTTAACACACACTTATCATTTCTCCCTTTAGGACTTTTGTTGGGTTTTCATCCAAAATACATCTTAAGTCTACCTACTTCTTGCCACATGCACCATTACTGCCCTAAGCCATGAGTTCTCACCGTGGGACTATGGCAGTTTCTTCCTAGCTTCTCTCCATTTTATTATTGTTATCCATCTACATTCATATGGCTGAATAAATGTTCACAATTAGATAATGCCACACACTGCTCCTCAGTATCCCACAACGTCTTTCCATTACACTTTGAATAAAACCCAAAGTCTGTCCTAGATGGCCTCAAATGATCTGGCATTTGCTTGCTTCTCTATCTAACTCCACTCATTCTCCTCCAGTCACACTGGCCTCTTGTTATTCCTCTAACACATCCAGCTCGTTTCTCCGTGTTTTAACTGTCGCAGCTGCCGACACCTCTTTCCTGGAAAGCTCTCTGATCACACAGGATGTCCACTTAGAGATGCATTCCCAGTCCCCACCCCCACTCATCACTAGGAATGACTGTTGGAGCCAATCAAATATTCAGTGGAAAAAATGTGTACAACATGTGGCTCTTTTATAACTTAGAGAACCCTCATCCCCTGAATTTTGCTTTTTCCTAATTGTTTTTTTTCCTAAATGTAAATTTATTTTAACCACACAAATGGATACCATTCTCTTGAGGATGACTCTGATCAATAGAGCCCAAGGCCTTTGCCTACTTTGTGCTACAAAGCTGTCTCACCATGCTGGACCAACCAGACTGTTGAATGTCTAATTTAAGACACTCCAACTTTCAGTCTCATTAATACAACATATCAACCATTATTTTAATTGTTACGATGTTTTTCAGGCCTTTTCATAGCTTATTTCTTCATATCATTTAGATTTCTGCACATGTATGCATGCATGCATAATGAAGCCTTTTCTTAACACTCTGTCTTTAAAAAATATATATTTATCCTTGAGTCAATAACTCCATTTAATTTGCTTCGTTTTTCTTGATTTTTTTTAAAAACAACCACTGACAAGCCTTCATCTGGTAGTGCCCTGGCAGGAACAATGAGGCTGTGGTGTTCTCCTGTTAAATGTAAACAGTTTTATAGAACTTAAACTTCAGACAGGGTCACTCTATGGAGGATGGCAAAAGACAATAAACAACACCACTTTGTAATCATGTCTGAGCAAAAACAAGAACAAGAACACTGCAAACCACAGAAATGATCCCATGTCCCCTTTCCCACATAATGTAAGTGACTGCTGCTTCTTTACTACCACTTTACTTCTGCTTTATTTTTCCACCTCATGTATCAGTAACGCATCCAAGCCAGAGCAAAGCCACACTTCTGGAATAATCTCCAAGTCATTGAACACAAGCCTGGACCCTCTATGAAACCTCTACTTGTACCCTATTATTGAGAGGCCAACCCCATAATTCCCCACAAAGTATATCCAGTACCAGTAAATCCCACTTTGTGTGAGTGTGTCCCTGGTGGTCTCTGGCTGGTGGGCATCGGCATGGCTCTCTTGAAATGGTGTCATCATTGATTGTTTACATGTGTATAGTCTGTCACTCCCCAATAGAATGTGCACATTTTGTGAGGACAGGAATTTTGTCTTTCTTATTCATCACTGTATTCCCATGGTTTAGCAGAAGACCTGGTTAAGTGTCAAAAGGATTTGTTTCATGAATGAATAAATTAGCAGCAGAAGGACTCATTCTCTTATAATAAAATGTACTAGACATACTTTCTACAGATCTTTAAGCCCCAACTCAGAGATTACATTTCCCAAGTTTTGGTATGAGCTCATATGTCTAGAAGAAGTCCCTGGTCCTATGTGAATCCACACAGAATCTGAGATGTTGAAATTCATCTCCCACTGGCAGCCTGGGAGATTATCCTTCATTTTTTGTTCCTTAGGACCTCTATGAGATGAAAACAAAACAAAAAAAGTGCCTAAGTGATATAGGAAGTACTCATACAATTCAATGTTGTGGGGTCGAACCATGGATTCAAAATAAGACCACCGGAGGCTGATGATTGATTTAAAAAAGCAGGCAAGGATTTATTGAACTGGCCAGGAAGGCCGCAAGAGCACCACATGCAGGTGGACACACTCAAGACCACACTGTTACAGGTGTAAGCAGTCCTGTTAAAGGTCCAAACCACAGGAATTTTCCTTTTTCTAAATTCTAAATTCTAAAGGCTGGGAACATCCCGCAGGGTCATTCCCAGTCACATCCTGCTGGACATTGGAATGTGGCCCTAGTTTGCCATAGCAGACAGTACAGAAGCAGAGCACAGTGGTCAATCTCTAAAGATTATCTACAGTTTCTACTCCTCAAGCTACTGAGTCAGTGGGAATCAATCT